AACCAATACACATAAACTGATCACCATGTCGTCACAGTCACTACTAGAGCCTTGTTTGAAACCCTCAAATTTTGTTAATACAATGGAAAGACTCTGGAGCCCCCTCAAAATAGGAGTGGTCAATCAAATGAACATGGTATTCAAATCTATATGTACATCATAGTCATATAAAACAACATTTTTTTTAAAACTGTGGGGCACATGGTTGGACACAATTGGGAAGCCTACAGCGGATTTAATTAGAAATCAAATTTTGCAAACCCCTATTGTATCAGTTTTTGAACCTTTTTCTGTCTAATATTAGATCTATGTTTGTACCAAGCATATTTAGGCCTCATTCACACTGCCGCACATATACGCGCGTATTGTCCCATATGCAAATAAATGGCTCCATACACAAAGCTGCATATGGAGCCGTATATTTGCGTAGAGTAAACATGTGCAAAAACAGAATGGAACCGAGATGCGTCCGGGCAGCGTATTTACGTGCATATACGCGTACAGCACATTAAAAATTCAATTACAAGTGATGCATCCTGGGATTGCATATAGTGCACGCATATACGCACGTATATGCATATAAATACGCGCTTATACGCAATATACAATTTTGCTCTTGCGTTGTGTGTGAAAAAGACTTCCTGCCGAAGTTAATTGCTTTGTTCACACTTACCTTGGGGCACTGCATCCTGCATATTATATAAAATTAAAATCCAACTGGAAGCATTACCTGACAAAGAAACCTAACAAGTCCTAAAAACTTGCATTTTGCATCTACCAAGTTAGCCAATAATTGGCTTCACTTCAAGCACAGACTTGTATAAAAATATATACATATTCAAATGCACAAAAATAATTAACCCAAATTGAATTGCCGACCTCATTGTTATCCCAGCCAAAGCTGCTTGTGAGGTCAGCGGTTGATGCAGCCTGTTGATCCACAAGGAGAAGTTGAGCAAAAAGCCGTTGTAACTGTAATGGAATGATCCGAACCTGGAAGAAGATTGCACAGTGAACAAGAAAGGTGATGCAATAAACCAAGAATCAATAATATAATTAAAAATGATTATTAAGCAAGGACTCATTTCATTATTCAATAAACTATGGTACCATCAAATCATAGTTATATGCAATCATATCCTTATAACGATGACTGCACAGTTCTTTGAAGAAATACCTTGGAATCTTCCACATCTTTATCTTCCAGGGATCCAAGCTCTTCAGGGCTCAAGGCAAACAGGGCTTCTGCAAATTATAAAAATAATATGTATTTTTTATCCTCCCTCTAATTTTTTTTCTCCTTTTGCAGCGTTTGCTGGGTGACAAAATCATGAGATATCATCTCTGCTTACATGAGGATAGACACTTAGACACCTGACTGCTTCCTGTGAGGCTGCGTTAAGTTAGCTTTGAAAAACAATATACAAAACTGTGCTGCATTTGATCGCTGAACAAAATAGTCAGTGTCTCAAAAAAATTGAATTATCTGTGACAAATAAAAACAGCGTTAAATATCGCATAATATACAATACATGTCCAAACTCCATTGATAGAAAAGAAAACAGTTTTTTTTGCTCCAGTCACGATCTGTGACTAACAAAAAAGCTGGACAATTACAGAAAAACGTATATAAAACGTTGGCACCATGTATGGATATACCAATCATTCTGACATGTGGTTTTCACTGACGGTAACATCTGCTGATGCATTTAAATCATATGCCTGGTTTGAACTGCCCACATATGCAACAGATTTACACTAGTAGTAAATCAAGAATAAGCATGTTAGCCATAGAAACTGCACATTCAAAATAAGTCAGTAATGGCAACTTTTACAATTCTATCCTGACAAATTCCTTTAATCATAGCTACATTGGCATATTGTGAGTTTACTCTTTTTAATGCCTTACATTTTGTTTATTTTGATGCCAAATAGCATTTTGTATTTTTAGAATCATTGTTACATCAACTAAGTGATCTATTTATGTTTCTTAAAACCTCTACAAAAAGCAGATGTTACTTCAGTACTGGAGCTTTACCTCATTACAGCCAGCCCAGCTAAGAGTGGTATTTTAGCTGTATGTGGAGCCTGGTGGGCTACGTTTGCAGCAAGAGAACAAAAGCAACATTTTATTCGGACACAAAATAAAAACACCTTTAGGCTCCATTCACATATAGCATTTGTGTTTCCCACGCGGTTTTCCGTGCGGAAGACCACACAAACGCTATATGTGAAACAACTGCATGAATTCCGCTCATTTGTGGCCACTATATAGCCCCGAACATGCGGAATCTACCGTATTATTGCGTTTGCACTATTTTGGGGGTTGCGCTGGTCTCTGCAATACGGCTCAGCGCGTATTCGGACAGCCGCCCCAGTGTGAATGGAGTCTTACAAGCAGAAGTAGAAAGGTTTCCAGATGCCAATCATACCTCTAAATTCTGGGGTGAAAAGCAGAGTCTGCAGCAGAGAGTTTAGGTAGCATGTGCCTCCCTGGTTCCTAAGGCCACTTAGTCCAGTCTCTCCACGCGGTTCTAGTATTTCAGAATCTTTGCGTTTCGTCTTTTTCCCATCACTAGTTGTGCTGTTTGATAGGAATGAGAAATCTTCCTCTTCGTCAAACAAGTCTCCAAACATCTCTAGTAAAGGGTGTAAACCTGAAACAAAATGATACAAACAAGAGAGAAACAATTTGAATATTGCTACCACATTCTCCGTCTTTAGCTGGCATTAGTTTCACACTAACGTGACAGGGATCATATCTACAATGTACAATGCCATGTCTTCAAAACCATACTCATATCCATATTTATATTACCACACTGACACAATCAGAAACATGTTCAGAGACAAGTTAATACAACTAGAAACAAACTGATGCAGAACCAAACAGAACCGATACAAACGGAAAAGAGGAAAATCAGGCAAAAATCAGGGCTAGGCTCTATGTGAATAGACCCGGAATGGGTCACCTGTAAGTATACAGTACCATGCCACCACCAAAACAGCAGAGGTAGGTGGCATGTGTGGACAAGGTGGCAAGCTGGAACCTTTTACTGTACATAAAAATATGGCACTAACGATCAACAGTTGCAACAAGTAGGAAGTCGGGGTTTGTGGAGAGGTGTGCAATCACTGCATGGATACATTTTAATAAAAATAAATATATAGTTTATTGCACATTGACTCAATAGTATAAAAACATGTACATAACAATTCATTAACAAAGGCACCCGTTGAAATTGGCAAGAGCCCAATTGTCATAAATTCTCACACATCCCCATGATTCAAGTAACATTACTGATACCACATCTTTGTGCGAATGGAGAGTGTTGTGTCCCGTCCCAACGCGTTTGCATATTGCTTCCGCAGGGGATCATGGATTTATCACCCTAGTGTGGCAAAAGATGAGGGACAGAGATTCCTAGACCGAGCGGGGACAGGGATAAAAATCCACCGACCCAACTACTCCATCGAAAAGCTGCCTTGGGGACCCCGGGGCTACAAGCAGGGGAGACACGTCCCGGACCAGAAAGGGGGGGGGGGATTCATTACCAGTACTGGGGACGCGCTGTTCGGGACTCTGAGGTGGGCTGTGGCGGGTCAACGTCAATCCGCACCGTCAGGTTTGGAATGCGAACAGCTTTGGACACTGGGTATTAAGACACTCAAGCATATCATCCGTATAGCTCTGACAGACTAAAGGTGGATTCCCCCCCCTTTCTGGTCCGGGACGTGTCTCCCCTGCTTGTAGCCCCGGGGTCCCCAAGGCAGCTTTTCGATGGAGTAGTTGGGTCGGTGGATTTTTATCCCTGTCCCCGCTCGGTCTAGGAATCTCTGTCCCTCATCTTTTGCCACACTAGGGTGATAAATCCATGATCCTCTGAGAAAGCAATATGCGAAACGCGTTGGGACTGGACTAGGGATGTCCCGATACCGATGCTAGCATCGGAATCAGGCCCGATACAAGGCATTTTGACAAGTACTAGTACTTGTCAAAATGCCCCTGTTAGCACATACCTCCACTACACTCCAGCAATAGAGTTATAATTCTCCCCTGCTAACATGAATAGGTTAAATCATGATCCATAGTACAGAACATGTAGTTGTACTATGGATCATTTAAAGTCACCTGTCCCTTTAAGAAAAAGTATCGGCAATTGGTATCGGCAAGTACATGAGGGGAAGTACTTGTACTTGGGCCTTAAAAAGTGGCATTGGGACATCCCTAGACTGTACACAACACTTTCCATTCGCACATAGATGTGGTATCAGTAATGTTACTTGAATCATGGGGATGTGTGAGAATTTATGACAATTGGGCTCTTGCCAATTTCAACGGGTGCCTTTGTTAATGAATTATGTACATGTTTTTATACTATTGAGTCAATGTGCAATAAACTATATATTTATTTTTATTAAAATGTATCCATGCAGTGATTGCACACCTCTCCACAAACCCCGACTTCCTACTTGTTGCAATTGATTTAACTATTAGGGGGGAGAGGTTGCATCAGGATACTGCTGTGTTAGCGATTCACGGGTGTGTTCTACTAACGATCAACAGTACAGTATGTGGGGGGCTGGGTACGGCTCCTGCAGGCCCTAATGCCCTAAGTCACAGTCTTTGTGGCAGAAATGTGGTCCTGACTACAATTATTTCTCCAGTGAGTCTAAACTCTGCCTGATCATGTGTGCCATTTAAAAACTTGCTCCACCTATCAAAAGCTTGTTCAGAACCATCTCCAGGTCCGTGCGTTTCCCCCCTGCACCAAAAATATGTAATTCCACGATTGCATAGTTGCAGAGCTTTCAAAAAAAAAGTACAGCAGCATGCTTTTTTTTGCATTGCATAGAAAGGCATGTAAACACATGTAAACACACCAGAATATACTTAAAATTAATTTAAAATCAACTTTAACAAAAATAGGAACCAGAGTGCGTCAAAAACACACATGACGCGTTTGCAGGAACGCATCCAGAACTGGTGTGAAGATGAACCATATTGTTGCTTTCCCCACCGGGGAGATTTCTCCGAGTGTCTGGGCGATATTCAGGAAAGAAATAATGGGGTAAAAAAAAAAAAAAATGCACCTGTACTATTATGGCCACACAGGTGTAAAAGGGCAACGTTGAAAATAATGGCAGAGCTCTGGACGTGCGTTAACACACATGGGGAAATGCACATTAAACTGCAAACATGTGAACGGGGGCCTTAGGTACATGAAGGTTTTGCCTTTGCAAGGAACACTATAAGCAAGCACCTCACACGCCATCACTAAACACCTTAGTACAAACAATACGCTAGAAGGAAGCAGACAAAGGGTTAAATGAAGGAAAGAATTAGGCCAGATCATTCAGGGGGCATGTTCACCTCACACAGATGAATCACTGCTGTCACACAAGGAAGACAACGACTGCCTATTGCTCCACAAATAACCACTTCACCTCACACACAGCAACAGCTATTCCTCGTTAGGAACAGAACTGAATATTTCTTAGACACAGTTTGTGGAACGACTCTTTACCTGTCACCAGCTCACCTAAGAAAACTGAAGGCTTTCTAACCAGGAAAACTGCTACACGTGAGCCGCCATGATTATTGTGTACTCTGCTTATGGGTGAGGAATGCTGGGAGGTGTAGTTTCAGCAAATAGAAATGATCCCATTGAAGAGTCTAGCGAACTACAAATACCGGGATGCACTGCTACACTCCGGCTGCAGAAGGCAGTTGAACTCTCTCATTCAAAACTATATAACTTTATTCATTCAAAAGCCTTCCGGTGATATACACAAAATCTGTTCACGCCACAAACGCAAGATTGATAAAGGGGCGTGACACTGTGTGACCTGGCTTGTCAATTTTTGGCTTGTCTGTGCCGTAGTGATGGGAAGTTCGGATCTTTAACATGAATAGGTTCATTTGGAACTGTTCATTCAAATGAACCGATTCATGAATCGAATCATCGGTTCACTTGCTGAGTCTGCTGACAAACAAGTGAACCGAAGCCCAGGAGCTGAATAAACCTTATTAATAGATCCGAATCAGGAGACTGATTCAGAGGAGGGGGCAGCTCCTGGGAAACTTTTCTTTGATCAGTGAGGCAGTGCCTTGGCTCAGAGCTGTCACAGGCATGGTGTTTTGTCAGACCAGCCATATTGTCAGATCATCCGGAGTCGTTGTGGTGAAGCGTGATCAACTATGTTAATAAAAAGCGGTTCACTGCGCATGCACACTGCATTCTGATGGGCTGATGCCACAGCTAACATTGGTAGCCATCAGATTTGTCCATAGTGTTTACAGCACATGGGCGGGAATAATGATCAGATTTTACCACCATGGGTGCAGTACCCACAGTACTAAAATCTAATCGTTATTGCGCTGTAAACACTATAGAAAAATCTGATGGCTAATAATGTTAGCTGTGACATCAGCTCATCAGAATCCAGTGTGCATGTGCAGTAATCCGCTTTTCATTAACACAGCTGGTCGCGCGTCACCAGAAGCAACGACCTTGGCTGATCTGATCTAAAGAGAACCTGCAAACTCCAATTGCTATAACATAGGGCTTGTTATCCCATGTGTGATAGTAATGAAGTGAAGTAAAAAAATAATTAAAAAAGAAAATTAAAACCACCCTTGTTGCCCCTAGCATCTGCATGTGAATGAACATGTTTAGTGCATGTACGTAAAAGATGATTGCATCACACGTGTTAGATGTCATCACAAACATTGGAGTAAGAGTATTAAACCATTGCTGCAACCTGACCATTGATTCAATGTACTGTTCTGCTAGATCAGACTCATATGATTCTTTAACTCAGTAACTGTTCTGGAGACTTATGATTCTTTGACTCAGTGACTGATCTGGAGACTCATGATTCTTTGACTCAATAGCACTTCTGGAGACTCGTGATTCTTTATTTTTGACTCAGTGCACTATTGAGTTCTTGGTTCTTGATTTTGATTGGTTGCAGGAAGGGGCTGGAAATCATTTTTATTGTATCTTTTTTTTTTCTTTAAACGGAGCGGCATGGCTAGTTTTAACTCTGCCGCTCTGCTCTCTGCTCTCCATGCTGAAGACATCCGGAGGTGGCCAGTGAGGAGAGATACTCGGCGGGGTGGGGAGAACGGAGCCAGCGAGGAGAGAGATAAGCGCAGGGGGGGGCAGGGCAGGCCGGCTGCAGTGTTATTACAAGTGATCTTGGCAACATCGCCGAGATCACTTGTATACAAACAAGCAGCTTCCTCAAACTACATTTAACCCTGCTTTGCCCAAAGCTGGGTTAAATGTAGCAAGTAACTTACCGCCTGGGGCCCAGAACTGCATGTCCCGGGCGTTGGGAGATTCCCAACCGCTGCCGCCCCTCTGCTCCCTGCCGTCCCGAGGTTGGGCCTCGGTGGCCTTGTGGGGAATCCGGCCCTGGGTATCTGCCTCTTGTAGTCCCCATACAGCAGGGCTGTAGTGTACGAGGAAGAAGCAGTACAAGGAGCCAATCAGTTCATGTGCTGCCAAGAAACATGCTTATAGGAAGAAAAAGCAGAGTGACATAGTTATAAGTAAATCACTATGTTCCTTTTCTTTTCTCTGTCCATTCACAGGCTGGGGTGGGTCAAGGATGACCTGGGCTCAGAGGAAGCGGGTTAAATGATGCTGGTCAGATTAAAAACATAAAGTGGAAAAAACAAATGAGGGAGATCTCTGAAATAAAGTTGAATATCACAGCAAAGCTGCTTTTTATCTTTTAAAGCCGCTATGCACTTTTATCTTTTTGTTTTTGGCTGTAGCTTTGGTATAACCTCAAATAAACTCATGTTTTAGATGTACTTGACCAGTACAATCTGCACACTTTTCTTCCAGTGCACTTTGAATTTGAACTAGTTTCAACTCTGGTGCAATTGTTTTGCATCATTATCCCTTTAGTTTTATTGTTAGTCTGTTGACAAAGTGTAGTATGCCAGAAACAACAAATAAGGGATGTTACTAATTAATCTATCCTCAGATGACATGTTTTTAAGATAGAGCCAACGTGAACTTAAAAAAAATGTCAGGCTGAAACCGAAAATGTTTTTTATTTTAACTTTTTTAAATTTTTTATATTTTATTTGTATTTATTTTTCAAAAACTTTAAAAACAGATTTTTTTTTAAATTAAATATTTGTATTTTTTTACTTTACTTTTAGGGGCTTAGGGGAAATATTTGGGGTCTAGACCTCTGATATTTCCCTTTTAAAATAGAAAAAGAGATTGAGGACCTTAATTTCTTTTTCTGCAGCCCGTTATAAATGAACAGGAAGCCCCTATAGTGAGTGTTCCTGTTCATTTATAACATGGGAACATAATGTGTTTACTATATCCACAATTATGTATGAACAGGAAGTGATGTAGATCACTCCCATTCATTCATAATTGAGGACACAGTAAACATACTCTGTCCTCAATAATTTACAAACACTCAGCAATCGCTGAGTGTTTGTACCTCGCTCCCCTTCCTGACACGCTGTCACAGGAGGCTGTGCATCCATCCAGGCAGTTGGCATATCACTCATATTGTGTAATAGTGTAATTGGTCATATACAGTCCATATTTGTAAGAGTATACCTGGCCATTTGGGTGCTTCTGCACATGTACGTGGGCCTGTCTTCCGCATTTGTGGAAAACGTGCGATAACTCACGTGCGCGCAAAGACACGCTAACGTGACCCACAGGAAATGGTGCAGCTCCCCTGAATAGATGGCCCTATTTAAACCTGCCAGTTCTATGGATCCTTGCTGAATGGTCTTTCAGCTTCTGCGCGTGTTCCTGTGTTTCTGCCTGTTCCAGTGTTCTGCTGCCTTGACCCGGATCTCCTTTGACGACGCCTGACTGCTGCCTGCCTCTGACCTCTGCTTGCTCCCGGACTATTCTTCTGCCTGCCGCTTTTGTACTTCGCTGCCCGATCGGTGATGACCCTGGCCTGCCTGACTCCGTCCTGCTTCAGCAGTATTCCTCATTGTCCTCCCAGCTGCACCCACACCTGCTTCCTTGGAGACCAGCTTCGGGACTTAACCAGGCACAGTGCCCTACACCCTCTGGCACCGGTGCTGCTCTCTGTCCTTTCATTCCCTGTCTCCACTCTCAGGGGTGTGGGACGAGAATTGCAAAGGAGGCCTCCTCAACTACTCGGTTCTCTACCAGGTACGTGATAATATTACACTATTATACAATTGGTGGGGATACACCAATATCGATACTAGTATTGGTATCAGTGCTGATACCGAGTATTTAGGCGAGTACTTGTAGTCGCCCAAATGCTTCGATACTTACCACCAATGAAATTCCAGTCAGAGGGAGATTTCCTCTGACCAGCAGTCCCGTGAGGGAACATGGAGCCGGCTTCCCGGCCAATCAGGAAGCCGGTCGGTGAATAGTGACTCGTGGCCCGGTTTCCTGAATGGCCGGTAAGCCGGCTCCATGCTGTTTGTCCGGCTCGATGCTGATTGGCCTGGAAGTTATAGAGTGCAATGTCAGTCATGAAAATGTGCACAAACTATACATCATCACTGCACCTCTTCATTACCACAATAAATGCCAATAACTTACAAAGGTGGAAATGGACTTTAAATTCTCTTTGCTGACTCTAGTGGTAGTCCTGTAGTCCTACTATACTTCCTGTCCTAGTTCGACTCCAGAGATACAGTGCAAACTGAGAATATGCCCAGATTCATGCATTAATAAATGTTATTTTGAGTGAAACAAAGTCCATTGTTAACCTTGTGACTTAAGTGTGACGGGTTTTTCTTTTTTTTGCCAGAGTAGAAGATAAATGCAGATTAATGTAAACTGATTGTGGCAACATTCACGGCAATATTTCTATGACCTTCTACAGCATGGAATTATTTTCACTCTACAATTTGGCTGGTGTTTTTAGGAATTATGGACTTGGCAAATGGTGGTAAACTGTTAGTTGTCCCTATGGATGGTAGTCATTGGCTCAGTATGCGTCATGTGGTAGAAAGATTGGCAGAGAAGGGGCATCAGGTTGTGATGGTGATGCCTGAAAGTAGTTTATCAATAAGTGGATCTGATCTTTACAGTGTTAAAACATACTCTGTGGTTGAAGAAAATAAAGATATAAAGGCCCATGTTCAAAGGTTTGGAAGAAAGCACTTTGTTGATTCTCCATTCCCTGGTGCTGCCTATATAATGCTCAAAGACATGCTGGAAATTGTTTCAATTTTTCACAAAACTTGTGAGAGCATGCTCAGCAACAAACAGCTCATCAGAGACCTTCGAGAGGAGAAATTCGACGCTGTGCTCACAGATCCTATAATTGTTTGTGGTTTGATTGTCGCAGAAGATCTAGGTGTTCCTTCTGTGAGTTTTCTAAGAGGATTGCCTTGTACATTTGACTATGTAAGTGCACAGTGTGCTAGTCCTCTTTCCTATGTGCCCTGATTATTCACTAAGAACTCTGACAGTATGACTTTTATTCAACGTGTGGAGAATGTATTGGTCACAATTGTGGAACGTTATTATTGTTACTTGATATTTCAGCCATTTGAGAGCCTGGCATCAAATGTCCTAAATAGAAACATTACCGTGTTGGATCTCTACAGCAAATCC